AGAAGCATGCGTCCTGCACAACAGAGTACTCCAGCCATGGTTGTGTGTGGTACCAGGCAGGATTGATTGATCTTAATGTTGTACAACCAAATACACATTTGAGATAACTACTCAGTATTGTGGTGTGTTGCAATTTAAGTCACTGGGTAGCTGAGCAAGTTGCTTTGGGACAGCAATTGTTGGCAGAGGTACAGGAGAAGCAGCGCCTGTTGATGCCACAGGAGCAGACATGCTAGCTTTTGTCTCTGATGTACCAGCAACAGCGTCATTGCTACTGGTATTGGTACAGGCAGAAGCAGCACAGAATTTTTTAAATGCTTGGACACAATAATGTATCTCACATTCTTTTTCACTCACTCCCTTTGTGAGCTGCTGGAAGCTGGGGTGAAATGTGAAGAAGTTTTACTAAAATCACTGTGATTACATCAGTATGTGAAATAAGAAAACTGTTGAGTGCAGAGTTGAAAACTGGGGCAGCGCGGACAAAGACACAGGCCCTTCAGTCAACTCTGTGCAGCAGACAGGCTCACAGAAAGATACACTTCTCTACCAGACTGAAACTGTGAAAACAACAATGGAATCGTTGACTGTATAAATATGTTTGTATTTTTTAGTTGTTAATTATCTCACGAGATAATAAGTGATTTTTACGACAGAGGTTTGCTGCTTCATTTTGCTCTGCCCTGCCTGCTGAGAAACCTGACACCGGGTCATTTGCATACTAACAGTGATTGGATGTTTAGCTGGGGGGAGGGTGCGTAGGGGTTCTCTGCCGAGGGTTGTGCGAGTTTGCGCACCAACAGAGCACAGAGGGAAAGAGTGGACGATATGTGAAACTAGGGCTGCACGATTTTGCATAAAATGAGAATCACAATTTTTTTGCTTAGAATTTAGATCACGATTCTCTCACGATTTTCTTTTCCAATATAAATATTTCTTGCACTTATTAACTGCACATCAACTTCGTAACAGTTGAGACTGAACATAAAAACAATAAATAAACATAAAAACAATAAATGTCTCACATTTTGTCGTTGCCGCAAAATGTTGTACTGCTTGTAATTCCGTCTCCACCGTTGCTCGACACTGCGTGTATAGAGCAGGTAGTGCAACATTTTTAAAATAGTTGTGGGACGGCACTGTGTAGCGTTTGTCTAGGATGTTGATCATTCTCCTAAATCCCTCGTTTTGCACAGTGTTGATGGGAGCCATATCTTTGGTCAGGTGATAAGTGATGTGCCTGCGGGAGGTCGACGGGAAGCGCTGTATAACGTTCCCGTTATTAATGTTTGGGTGGTTGACGGGGACGGATTTTCTCCTGTCACTTTCTTGGCCTTTACAGCTTCGTCATATTGCACTTTATGGTGACGTTTGAGGTGGTTATACAGATTTGTAGTGTTACCTTGCGGTGCTGCTACTATGGCAAAACACAGCTTGCAAATGATATTTTTTTTGACTCTCATCGTCTTCTTTGAAGGCAAAAAACTTCCACACGGAGGAATGAGAACCTTTTCTTGGAAGTAATTTTACAGTGGGGTTGACATTCTCAACGCCATCAGGAAACGTTTCCTCTGCGCTCATTGTGTTTTCTCCCCTGGGGCAGTTTCACGTGCTCTCCGTTGTTTTTTCCAAGCCAGATGCCTTCTGTATCACGTGGTATAAGGCTCCGCCCTTGTCATTTGTTGAGCAGGAAGCGTGAGCGCTTGTTTTCATGCAGATTATGTCCCGGATCAAAATGCGGTACAATCGTCATCTTTTTTATTTTTATTTTTATTTTTTTTAAAATCGTTGTCATTTGGAAATGAGATCGCACATAAGTATGAATCGAGATCGCGATTTTTCTAACGATTAATCGTGCAGCCCTATGTGAAACCATCTCATTTGTGCCTTTTCTAGTGGATTTTTCAGCTACTGTAGTAAATTTTGTCCATATTCATATGTTTGTGGGTAATCTATTTTATTTCTTATTTTGTTATTTATTAAGTTTGATTTAAGGGGTAGGAAATTTGTTTAAGGGGGCGTTGCCCCCTCTTGCTCCAGCATATAGCCAGCCACGGGACTGATTGGTACTTTATGCAATAAAAACTGCAGACTGCCTTCTAAATACAGAAAGTGCAATAATCTTTTTAATTATGTTTAATGTTGTGATATGATGTACATTCACAACTGTGTGTGGCCCGGTCATGGGGAATGAGACAGGACACAGGAAATACTATTTTGTGGGCTTTTTTATTCTCCGACTGTACTCGGAGGAGCACAGTTTTAATTCTGTAGTTTTGAGTGAAACGGCAAAATTTAACTATTCCACTGGCTCAGCCTAAAACTGCCTTTCAGGGTCTGAGACAACAGTAACTATCATATGTACATGTTAAATTCAAACAGTATAGACAACAGTAGTGACCTGTCAAGAAACAAATACAACAAAAAAAAAGAAAACAAAACAAATAAACACATTGTTTACATCCCACAACTTCACAGGTCAACTGGCAATAAAGTGCACTGTAAACTCTCTTTTAAACATACATTTCTATGGGAGAACATCATGAACTCACTTCGGTTTCTCCACACAGCTACTGTGCTAGGACAAGTACACATGCAGGAATCACACAGCAAGTGATCTCCCCTCTGAATCAAACAGAAACATACAGAGTTATGCAAAGTGAATAACAGTATAAACTTAACAACTTTGAAATCTGTTAGGACACTGTAACTACTCACGCCAACCCG